TACATAGCAGTGATAGATTCCAGTTTTGTCTAGCTTAAGACAGAAAACTTACATATAGATTATCTTGGCCCTGGTTTCTTAAACTCTATAGATGTCAACTATCTCTAGTTCCTTATTGTAAATGGCTAGAATTTAATACTTTAATATTTAGACTTTACAAACATTATCTCATTCTATCTTCACAACAACCCTTGAGGTAGATACTATTATTTTCCATATTTTGCAGAAGAGGAAACTGTGGCATAGAGAGGTTAAATAAATTATCCAAGGACACACAACTTGTAAATGTCTGTAGGTCCATTGGAACCTAGGTTTCTGACCCCAAATTCAGTACTCTATCCACTGTGCCGCCTGGATGCCTTGCTCTTATTTTTATTGTTTTCAGGAAATACGTGAATTCCTCAGGAGAAATTTACTATGGACAAAATATGTCATTATCGATTCCTGTATTGTCTGTTCATACTTCTCTTATTGTCATAATTTGGAGTGCCTGATGAGGCAAGGTGAATAGAAGTCTGTGTTTGAGTCAGAAACACCTGGATTAAAATGCCACATCTGATTCAAAATTAACTTCATGACAATGGATAAATCATTTGAATTACCTGGGCCTCATTTTCTTTCTGTTTAGAAGGGACTATTCATAGCAGTAGTATCAACCTTACAAAATTGATGTAAATATTAAAGGAGAAAATAAATATTATGCTTAACAAATTTTAAAAGCTCATAAAATTATCTGACTCAATTATTTTACACTAGAATTAGTATTTTGTTGGATCAGCTAAGTGGCACACTGGATAGAGCACGGGCCCTAGAATCTGGAGGACCTGAGTCTAAATCTGGCCTCAGACACCTGACACTTACTAGCTGTGTGACTCGGGGCAAGTCACTTAACCTGATTGCCTAGCAAAAAGAAAAAAATTAGCATTTTCTTTTTAAGTAAACTAGCAGCTCCTTGCCATCACTGTTGGACATCACTTAAGGCTTTCCCTTAAATGTAGAAATCTTAAAGAGTGGATGTTTTCTTGATGAGACAGGAAAGGCATTCTTAGCTCTCTATTCATTTTCACAGACATGAGATAGAACACCTTCTGGAGCTGTGTAATTAAACCTGTCCCAATTGAAAAACTCACCTTCTTTTCATCACACGTATGAAGGTCTTCCCAACAGAGAAGATGCCTGAGAGGAATTATACTGTACCAACTGAGTTTATTTTAATCGGCCTCACAAATGATCTACCACTCCGAATCATGCTCTTCCTTTTGTTTTTGGTCATCTACATTTTGACCTTGGTGGGAAACATTGGTTTGATAGTCCTGGTCAATATTGATTCTAATCTTCAAACTCCCATGTATTATTTTCTCATTAATCTCTCCTTTCTAGACATCAGCTACTCCACAGCCATCACCCCCAATATGCTAGCAAACTTCTTATCTTCTAAGAAGAGCATTTCCCTGTATGGCTGTGCCCTTCAAATGTACCTGTTTGCTTGCATTGGTGATGCAGAATGCCTCATTCTAGCTGCAATGGCCTTTGACCGCTATGCAGCTATCTGCAAACCATTGACATATTCAACACTTATGTCTAGGAAAGTGTGTTTTTCTTTAATTTTATTGGCTTATTTGAGTGGAGGCATGATGTCAGTTGTTCATGTATATCTGACCTTCAGGTTGCCATTCTGCAGATCCAATGTCATCAATCACTTTTTTT